AGATTATCTGATTACTTTATTATTTTATGGGTAGTTTTCTAAAAAGGTATCGAGTACTCATTGTTACTCTCTTCTGTTTATATTTACGAGGTTTGATCGACTTTATTTTTAATTTGAATTTATTTAATTGTAGGTGTAAAATTAAAAAATAAAATTATATATTTAAAAACTATATCAAAAGTTATACAAAACAAGAGGTGACAAGATTATATTATTTTATCAAATAACTAACGAAAATATGTAAAGAAAACAATTTAAGTTTGACCGTGTGAGTAATAACAGGGAAGATAGTTTTAGGACGGGGGGAGTACATGTTTTAATTTTCTGCTATTTTGGGTTTGATAATTTTTGTTTGTTTACTCGTTTTGGTTGACCATTTGATAAAATAAAATATTCTTATCACATCTTGTTTTATAGAAATTTTGATGTATTTTTGAACGGCATAATTTTTTTACTTTTTATTTCTCTACTAATTAGTAAATAAAATCATTTTAAAAGAGATGATATTTTACACGTTGTTCGAAATGTTGTAAACAATTTGAGACAAGAGAGTAATTTTTTATCATGTTTTTCATTTCTTTCTTGCTTGATAACGTTTGACACTTCCAATACAAACAATAGTTTTTCCCTCAAAAAAATCTTTTTTAACCCAATATTTCAATCCTAGGAATAGTAACATAATGTATGAAAAATGAAAATGGTAACTTTTTCCCGTGAAAAAGATTCCGTGCAACCATAGATTGGAAAGACTTGGACTTATTTCCAATGATTCTTGACCAAATTTCCATTCTTCTAATTTTAAATTATTGTGTACAGAGTAATAATTTGTTTACGGTTATTATTTTGTAATAATTGATTCCAAGTAAGGAATAATAGTGTAATTGAAATTTCAAATCACAAGTTTGCTTCTTAGAACTGAGCGTACCTTTTTTAAAGCTAAAATTGACTTTGTTCTCTTATAAAATGTAAACATTTTTACATATTACTGTAGCCTAAATTCCATCTATAAAATGTAAATATTTTTCACATATTTTCTATGAGCTTATACTTGAACTTTATTAATTTTAATACAAGACTCATTACATAAAATTATTTTGTGCCTGAAGGTCTATAAATTAAGTATAGACCTAAAGATCATTAAAGAATTTATCTAATTTCTAAACTTCTAAGAGTCCGCTTGGATTGATTTTTTTAACAAATGATATTCTCAATCAAGAGAAATCAAATGAAAAATATCATCCGGCAGAGTAGGAACTCAATAGCCCGGCTGAGCAACAACGCATCTAGTCAGAGTATGAGCCACAACGTTCAAATCTCTACGAACAAAATGAAAAGACACATTAGAAAAATAATTCACCAAATCCAAACAAGCATCAACAATGAAAGCTAAGTAAGACGAAGTATATATCTTCTAACCCGTTCAATGCACGATAAAAATATATCTTCTCACCTATCAATATTAAAGGGATATGTATATATATTGGTGGGTTTTAGACAAGGAGTTAACATGAAGCATTCACTGTATGAGCAGGGAGAGACTAAGGGGGTGTTTGTTTTTTCTGCAGGAAAAAGTCTGCAGTCTGCGGACCACTACTGTAGACATCTGCAGGAGAAGTGGTGGACCGAAGGTCTGCAGTCTGCAAGAAGAAGACTGTTTGTTTTTTAATGTATGTAGACTGCTATATAAATTAATGGAGGTAGTGTACGGTGGTGGTGTATGGACGATTGTGGTGTTGGTGGAGGGTGGTGGTGAAGGGTGGTTGTGTACGTTGACGGCGGCGATGGTGGACGGTGGTGGCGGTGGTGGTGGACGCTGGTAGTGGTGGACGGTGGCGGGGGTGGTGGACGACAGTGGCGGTGATGGTGGACAGTGGTGATGGTGGTGGACGGTGGTGGTGGTGAAGAGAAGTAGAAGAAAAAAATGGAGAAGATGTTAGAAGACATAGGTTAATGTCTTCTCCAAGAAGATGTCAGGAAGACCTTTTTGAGTAAAATGTCTTCCGAAAAACAAACAATCTGCAGAGCTCAACATCTGCGCGCGTCTGTGCGGCGCAGACAAAAGAGATCAGAAGCTCTTCTGGCCAAAAAACAAACACCGCCTAAGTTTCCACTTCTACTTGGGGGCACGAGGGGGGGGGGGGG